CTTTCTTTCTTTCTTTCTTTCTTTCTTTCTTTCTTTCTTTCTTTCTTTCTTTCTTTCTTTTCAAACGTATTAACCACCCATCTCCCTCACTTTCCTAGTAATGGAAGAGATGCGACTGGCCTAAAAATCACCCAGCTGGCTTTGTGTCTAGGGCAGGACTCGAACTCACAGCCATCCTGGTTTCTAATCAGGCACCTGTCTGACTTATATTGGGCACATGTGTAAAAAATCAAACTAGGACTTATTTTCAGGGTAGGTCGTATTTTGGGGGAAACAGGGTATATATATATAAAAGGACCTAAGCTGCTTGTTACATTTCCAACAATTTTTAGAGAAAACTTTTATCTATTTTAGGAATTAAGACTGGGGTGATATCCCAGCGATAAAACAGCTTGAAGGCATTCTGTTGAAGGGTGACATTCAGCATAAATTTAATATTTTTTTCTTTCATTGCAACTCCCAGGGCTGCATTGCTATTCCTACATTTTGGTGTAGCATCCATTTAATCTCGCAATCGTTCAAATGCACAGTTTCTGAGTCATTTCTCAGCAACCATCATCATCCGCCACAAAAATTCTGAATCATGTGCAGGTAATCTTATGACCACAACTGAGCCCAAATTTTTGGTTGCTAAGCAAGACTTTTAAGTGAATTTTTGCCCCATTTTATGACCTTTCTTGCCACAGTTGTTAAGTGAGTCCCTTTCAGTTGTTAAGTGAATCACCTGATTGTTAAGTGAACCTGGCTTCCCTGTTGACTTTGCTTCTCAGAAGGTCGCAAAAGGGGATTGTGTGACCCCGGGACACTTCAACGGTCATAAGTATGAGTCAGTCGCCCAGCATCTGAATATTGATCATGTGACCATGGGGATGCTGCAATGGTCATAAGTGTGGGAAATGGTCATAAGTCACTTCTTTCAGTGCCATTGTCGCTTTGAACAGTCACTAAGTGAACTGTTGTAAGTCAAGGATTGCCTGGAATCGTGATGGTTGAGGCATCCTGGGGTTTGCTTATCCAGTGATTCACTTAATGTAGCAAAAATGCCCTAAACTCCGGCAAAACATCCGTCTTGCTTAGCAACAGAAATTTTGGGCTCGGTTGTAGTCGTAAGTCGAGGACTACCTATAGTTATTTGCGAAAGTGCCCTTTTAATTGCCACAGTCTCTACAGAGGGGAGGTCAAAAAAGTCAAAATGGCAGCTGCAGCCATCCCATTGGAGCCCTGGGCAGACAACCCAGGGCTTCAGCAGAATGGCTGTGTCCGCCATTTTGACTTTTTTGACCTCGCCGGGCACCTCGCCAACTGTTCTCCTGTGGTGGAACTTAACCGAACTTCATAGAACGATCTGTTCTTCGCCGTCCCCATCCAAAAATCTCGGTCATTTCTTCTCTTCCCCTCCTTTCATTTTTTCACTATCTCTCCAGCTGGTGTGTAGGTTGCATTTTTCACAGATGGTGCCAAACGAACACGTAGAACAAGAGGCAAATACACACACACACACACACAAGTGTGGGTTCCGTTTCGCCTGCCTGTAAATTGTCCCCGTTCAGGAAACTGGAGGGGGAAGAGAGAAGCAGCAAGGAGCCCTCGCCCATCCGCACATTCGCCAGGCCTGATCCTGCTTAGCTTTCGGGCAATCAGACAAGGCCAATTTGGTGATCTGGAATAGTGTTTCTCCACCTCAGCAACTTTAAGATGGGTGGACTTCAACTCCCAGAATGCTCTAGCCAGCATGGTGGCCTTGACCTCTGAGAATGCCCCAGCCAGGATTTGAAATCACAGGGTCTGTGATTTCAAATCACTCAGCCTCTGTGGACTTCAACTCCCAGAATTCCCCAGCCAACATCTTTGGACTTCAACCCCCAAAATGGCCCAGCCAAACATTTGTGAATTTGAAATCCCAGAATACCCCAGCCAGTATCTGTGGACTTCAACTCCCAGAATTCCCCATCCCACATTGGTGCATTTGAAATCCCAGAATTTCCTAGTCAGGTTCTATGAACTTCAACTCCCA